TTTTCTGCTCCACGCACAATATCTCAACATATTAAAGGCAGCTGCAGCTTTAGCCAGTCTGGTGTGGATCTCTCTATCCGGCTTTTGATCTCTAGTTAGGTTGTAGCCCAGATATACAAATGAGAAATACTCAGAAGACTATGACGAATCGACCCATGTCTTTTTTTCTGAAAAGACCATATGCTTTCATGGTCTTCTTCAATGAAGAATAAACTTATGTGTGTCTAAATTATACCTTCTTCTGTATTTCAACACTATATCTTTTTCTTTCCACAATCAGGCGAATTTTCATCACGAGAAAAGTCTAAAAATCGATACAGCGACATTACCGCGAACGACATTACCACGAATACAAAAGACGACATTACCGCGAAGACTTGTTTATCGGGAAAGCCGAATAAATGAAGCCGGTTTTGTATTTTGTACATCCTGATTTCAAACTTAACTGAAGTTATGTGGTGACTAGTCATAATCTGATACATTTACAGATATCTAGTTTCGCAGCATCATAATATGTTTTGTATGAAAATACTTTTCGAACTCACTCTCACAATGCCCTCCCCCTCCCACGTCCTTCGACATGATATACAAATTACAAAACCAGGCTTATTTATTCTTTTTTTGCAATAAACGAGTCTTCTCGGTAATGTCGTTTTCTGTCGTCGCAGTAACGCGCGCGTCGAAAAAGCGCTTTTCTTGCCTTTTGTCAGCTTATTCTGTGCGCTGAAGTATGCTGAATTTAATTTAATATTTGTAGTGCAAGAAATAACAAGTTTCACTATATTTTTCTCTATAAACTACGCTAGAACAAATAACGTCGTCATTGACGCTTAATGGCGCCAATAAGAGCGTTGCTATGGACCATAAGACTAAGGCAAAAAGTCGCATAGATTATGTCGACATCCGCGAAAAGTTAATATCAAATTATAAATTTTATGCTGCCGGCATATTCATTCAATTTTATGCATAGAGAGAAATTTTCTCAGCATTCTGTCCACCGAGGCAAAAATTGACCAGTTTTCTAAAGTTTAAATTGATACAGAAAGCGTATGAAATGTTATCAAATGAGACGACGTGTAATGAAATGGTTTTGAGGATGATACAATCGTAGACGTATACAGTGAGGATTCACAGTGTCTACATATGGATAAAAAACCGGTGAATAGCAAAAAAAATCAAAAGAAAAGTAAATATAGCAACAAAATTACCAATTGGATATAAGAGTATGAGCACGCAATTTTTTGTTGATAATTTATACAAGGAAATAGCATCCATTACAAACGATATACAATCAAAAGACATCCTAAATGAATAGTCTTAATCGATATAAGAGACAATTGTGCATAATTTATGCTAAGGAATCGTCGAATTATAATTTATAAAATACCAATAGAAAACGAGAAACACTTTTACAGGTAAATCCCCTGCGTTTTGCACGGACTGTTCTAATTACCTCACGCATTTATAGGTGCTGCTCTAATTTCTCACATGAGGGAAATTGAAATACAAAAATATTTTACTAGTCGCTTTTTGAATAGAGCTAGCTTCTTCATATATTGTCCGTTTGCGATCTAATCCATAGCAAGCGATAGAGCTGAATATCCTCTACATATCATACTAAGGATGTGTGCAAAAATAATTTAAAATACAAATATAAAATTCCAATTACTTTTATTAAAAAAATCCTGTGTATTTTCCACGGACTGTTCTAATTACCCCACCCATTTACACGTACTGCTCTAATTCCCTACATGCAGTCGAGATCGGTCAACCGCAGACTTGATTCTGAAGGAAAACTAATTTTTTAGAATCGTAGGCTTTCAAAAAACCATCGAAAACCATTTTTCAAGGCATAAAAATTAATGCTTGGATAGGCTCTTAAAAACGAAATTTCTGTTCCTTTTTCTATAGAACAAGTTGGCTTTTTCCAACAATCTCTTTCCTTTATATGTTTATGATGTTGACTTTTTTTTCTTTCTTTTTTCTGATATTTTCTCATTGTAGTACTCATTCTGCTGTTGTTTGATTAACGTATATTATTATTTGCAAAAACGTAATATATAATATTATTTCTTGTTTAAAGTAAGTATGCAAAGCCTTACTGATTTATTATTACTGTTAAACATTCAACACGACGACTGGCCGAGATGCCTAGACAGGACTGTTTAACAGTACTTATACTTATACGTTAACCACGAGTTCGCATTGTAGATCGACCAGTTAAACACGATTTTATATTTTTTTCTTTTCTGATTTTGTTTTTTTACACATATATGAATCAGGTCTCACTGTATACAAGGCGAACGTTTTCGATAAAAATAAAAATGGCGAAAGCCATAGATACTGTCATAAATGGAAGGAAGTAGTGTTCACCTATCGTAATCATGACGACTGCGAGTTGAGCAACTGGTAGTGCGGTCTTTTGATTTATATCCTCATTGGACTATACCATATATCTCGATTAGGCTACAAATCCTAATCGGAACAGTCTGTATAGCCTGATCGATTTATAAAAACAATGAATGGGTTTGGGAAATCTATTTTATATTTTAATAAAAACTGAACAATGCCATTCGAAACGGCATTCAAAACTCGAGTATGTGCCTTACTTGTATTAATATCTAAAGGTTGAATAAAGCCTCGCATATCTTGAACCGGATATAAAAAATATCTTGTTTTTCGTTTTTTTTTCAAGAAACTTTCGTTTTTGGAAAAAATGAAAGCATTTTATTGAACTCTCAAATGACCATCGGAAGGACCCCTTAAAGCTACATATGAATTCATGGAGATCTCAAGCCATCGGAAGGTGACAACATCGAACAGAAAGGTTTTGTTAACATGTTGATATAGGCTGCATAGATGGGAATTTTTCTGCATATTGGTGTCACTTGAGACTTTAACTGACGCTACTGGTATTCTAGAATGATGATCCACATGTTATTATTTAAATTTACTAAATGAGACATTAAGCCGTAATAAAAACGATCAGTGAATGATCACATATATTTTAAATAGTTTTTTAACAGGTATTGTTCTATCACTATAGCGGGATACATTGAAGTCTCGAACGAGATATATATCCTGCTTGGAGTGTTAACTATACATCAACTGACAGTCTGGTCTCATAGCCCGAACGGGATATATATCCCATTTGGGCTATAATATATATCCTCGTCGGATATAGCCTAATCAGGATATATTTTTATATCCCGAATGGGATATAGTATATTGAAGACATATTATGACACGGCGTTTTATTGTTTTTGAGTGTGCGAGTGCGAGTTCATCTTTGAAGAAAACGGATTGTATCCGTATCAAGACTACAGAGCATTTTTACATGTAAAAATCTTACGTTCAGAAATGATCATCCTCTGTGTGCGTCTGTGTTATTATCTTTCCTTCTCAAAAGAGCATCGAACTATTTATGCACATATCCCAATCCGGTAGTTGTGTATATCCCGACTGGGATTTAAAAAGTTGTGAACGGTAGACTTTTGAATCAAGACTAGAGCAACATAGATTCCGATTCAGTTTTTTATCCACTTTCTTATGTTACAGTCACTTTTCTGCAATAACATTACGATTTTTAGGATAATGATTTTTTTCCGAAATGTTTTGTAAAAGTATTGCAATCAGAATATAAATTTTCTCCGGTTTCCCGTTCGGGATGTATTATAAATCCCGATCAAGGTTATTATCACAGGGAGAATATAAGTTCGCACTGACTGGTGTGATTGTGAATAGGGAAAGCGCGCTTCGAATGTATTAGGGTGTTCTTAAGTGTCATTGCGAGTGGAAGTTTCCGGATCAAGCCCGATTCGGATCGACCGAAGGATAAATTTATCTGGCCCGACCACTCTTGGAATTTTTCTTGATAAAATGGCCTTCTTCGTCTCTCATATTACCTAAAAAAAATCTTTGGTCCAGCCTGGTTCGATCCGACGAAAATACTTTTCGATCCGAGCCCGGCCCGGCCCGAGCTGGAGATTAGAGAATGAAAAAAACGTCATTTTCATCGAACGTCTCTTAAGATCCATTGCACGTTACGTTAGAGATGATCTAAGTTGCTTTTTTAATGTCTGAGTTTTTTGTTCAGACTTGCGCGGTGTACGAGGACAACGGTTCCTAGTAAAATCTGTTGTGATAAACAAGCAAAACCGAAGTTGACCATATCATAAATCCGAAAGCATAGTTTGACAGCCTGACATGAGTACTGATCATTGGCATATGAACGCCAAAACTTTCAAAGGTATCGACTTTTACGAAAAATTCCATAACTTTTGAAGAAAGGAAGTTTCGGAGGAAAACGTTTGGGAATCTTCCTATGTATGTCGCTGCTACCTACTGTGCAAGTATGAACAAAAACTCAGACATTAATAAAGCAGCTTAGATCGTCCCTAACGTGCAATAGCCCTAAAGAGGCGTACGATGAAAATGACGTTCGTTTTCGTTCTCTATGACAATGAAAAGAAAACGAACAGTTGCTTTATTAAATTACAGAAAGAAAAGAAAAAATTTCTTCTGTGAATAAAGTAGTTCTGTGGCAAAAGTAGTTGTAAAAAAAGAAAGTTCTTTGTATAGCTGTATATCAATATCAAAGTAAAATTAGCTTCTAGCGCTCCTACCCAAGCAACTGACAAATCTTAACGAGAGGACTCATTGTGTCTCATTTCTACATGCATACAAGGTCATTCGTTTATTTTTTGAGGATTAATAATGGTAACGTATAGAGAATAAATTTTTACATTTCACTGGAACGACTGAACTTCGTCTAAGACTCTACACAGATAATTGTCTTTTTTTTAGCAAAACACAAAGAAACAATGAATCAAGCTAATGTCACCATAGAAAAGCCGGTTTTCAATCGTCAACAGTCGGTTTACGATGGCATGACAAATAATACCGAAGCAATTATAGCCGTGTGGCTTGACACTAGTGCAGATAAATACGAATCCACTCAAGACAAAATAAGAAACACGGCCGATATACTAAAGATCTTTTCGGAACCAGATCAGTGTGAAAAATATATTCGAAGTATTGGAAATGCTAAATTCTTTTTAGCTATCTCTATTGAATATGCTCAAACACTTGTTGAAAAATTGCACGCTTTGAGACAATTACATTCAGTTTATGTGTATTCCGACGAAACCAGTTCTGCTACATCAAACAATGAATGGTTGGATGAATATCCAAAGGTACGATAACAACATCAGAATGTAAAGTCATCATCTAGTGATTAAGGATAACCAAACTAAGGAAAAGAGCTTCTGCGTAAAAACCCTTACAACTCTTCCTGATACTCCTTATTTTTAAGAACTTCTTTAGCATTTTGCACCCGAAGTTCTTCGATATGGCTCTAAAACGAGGAGACAAATCTCTAAATGTGTGGCGACTACACGAGTGCACGAAAATATCAGTAGTAAAGTCTTTTGAACTACTCGACATATTCTTCGTTGTCTCTCATACTTATAATTACGATATGTTGTAGGTAATAAACGTCTACGATCATCTTGATTTATTAGCCGAAGAACTTTCTACCACGATTTATAAATATTCTCGCAATGCTAGTGTTCCAATAACTATCTTCAAGCATCCTGAAGCAGATCGAACCACAAACCTGCTAAACAAATTCGCCTACTTTGTCGATTTTTGGAATCCATTATTCATCGATCTAATTCTTGATTTGCCTTTATCAGATTATGATTACCAAAAGAAAAGATTTATTCAAGAATGTAAAACATGTTATCGGGCCGATTTAACAAACCTGAAAATAGTTGAAAAATTTGAAAACACCTACAAACCGTCCGAAGCCATTCAGTGGTATAAACGTGATTCATTCGTGTACCGTCTTCTTAACAAAGTCTTACGACAACAAAATATCGAGGGTATTCTAACATTTCGCTTTTTCATTTTGGATATGTTTGAACAACTCAAAACCATATATAAGGGCTATATCAATGACGACACTTACGAAGACAATTCATATATTATAGTTTATCGTGGACAGTTAATGTCTGAGGAGGAACTCGAAATTTTGAAAAAAGATTTGGCTCCCGGTACAGTAGTTTCAGTAAACAGTTTTCTGTCGGCCTCACGTACGAGAAAGGTGGCTCTAATATTTTCTGGTGCATCGGGCCTTCCAAATGCTCATTTGAATTCAGTGGTATTTGAAATAAAAATCAACATACACCATAAAAATCTACTTAAGCGAAAACCATTCGCTGATGTTAGTCAGTTGAGTAAACAGGATGAAGATGAATGTGAAGTTATATTCATGGTTGGATCATTTTTTAGAATTGACAACATCGTATATGACGGGATCGAAAAAGTGACAATCGTCAAATCAGTTCTTATCGATGAAGATGATCATACAATGTCCATAACAAAGGATTATCAAATTCTGAAAAGAACAATAACGGTCGAAGGTAAGCTAATTAGAATCGGCAATTTGTTAATGGACCATCCGTCATACAGTCAAAGTTCCAAGGCCAAAGGATACTATAAAGTTCTGGAAAATGAGCTGAAATTATCTAAATCGATATTTCCCGCATGTCTTGTTGGTCAAGGTTGGGTAGACTTCAAAAACGGAAATTATGATTCAGCAATTAAACTGCAAGTCGAAGCGTTGGCTATCTACAACAAATTAGACGATAAGAATAATAATGAATCGGCTATATCTAGTTTGAATTGTATTGGGGCGGCTTACATGAAACTTAATGACTATCCAAAAGCTCTAGACTATTATAATAGAGCTTATAACTTATCTAACCCGATTGATGATAGGGACGCTGAGCGAGTGACCTATCAAGGTCCATGTATTCCCATTGATAAGTTTGCAATGTACGACGGCTACCGAAATATTTCATCTATTAAGATGGCTTGCATACAAAAAATGAATGGTAATTGTCAACAAGCTTGGGATATATACAAAAACGCAATCGATTATGAAATGCGAGACACAATCAACTTCCATAGTCATACCTGCATGACAATAGCCGAAGCTGGAGTTCTCGAAGCAAAAACGCCTGAAGATCAAAATAAAGTGTGGAAGAACTGGAAGAGTTTTCTTAACATTGGCTTAGGTGATGTATTAAAATATCGTTCGTCAGCCATTACCGGATATCTCTCGTTGGGTCATCAGTATACTATAACCACTCGCCTTTATAATAACGTTTGCTGCCGAGATATGGCTATCGATTATTTTCGAAAAGTTGAAAAGGAATGCTTGAATTATGCTTCAAATCGTGACCACTACTTGTATACCCTTCAGTGTTACGAACGGCTGGCGGTTTTATATCAGGACAAATCCGATTTCAAACGATCGATTGACTATTATGAAAAAATTATCGGATTATGCTTGAAATACAGTTCGAATGATTTGGAAAATATTATTGTCGGTTATAAGGGCATGATTGAAACTTATGAGAAACAACTGATAGCAACGTCATCAGAGGACTCAGACATTTCACTGGTGCTGTGTGATGCTGTTAGGCCACCAGTCTCGCTTGAGACTTCTATGTCATCGGATACACCGAGCAATGGAACACTTTTTAAAAATGTTAAACGTTTTCATTTCGCATTTGGACAATACGATAAGCGAGTTGACCTTTTGTTGAATAGTGAGCCAGATCTTCATAAGAAACGCGTTTATTGTTACATGAAGCTGGCAGCTCTTTATTATGACCAAGAGAAAATCGTTGATGCTCAACATTCGCTATCTCAAGCCATTTTACTATGCAAACAAATTGGCTCTGAATTATTCGATGTCTTGGTGATATGTAATGAAAACATAGCCTTTATCCATGGTAATTTCGATTTAATTATTCAGTCCTACAGAAATCTACTTGAGAATCGACTTAAAGGCGATTCCAGCGCATGTATCGGTGAAGATAACTACTGCTACATAGCTCAGCTATACGAGAAAAAGAATGATTTTAATTCAGCTTTCGAATACTACCAGAAACCGGTTGAATATTTTGAACAACATGGTCATCTATGTTCCCATACAATTTATTGTTTTATGAAACTAGCCAAACATTACCAGACGACAAAAAATGATTTTGATTCGGCAGTTGATGTTCTCGAAAAGGGAATTACTCTAGTGTTAAAACATCGTCGAGAGCCAATGATAACAGCAATTTCAATTATTCGGCAGCACTTAGTTGAGCATTTTAAAGTAAAGAATGATTTGAATACCGCCATCCTCATTTATGAAAGCGTTTGTGAACTTGTTAAATATGAGAGAACTGACATTATTATACTGTATCGGGATTTCAAAAAAGTTCTTAAACTATTAGTCAAACAAAGGCACGCCGACGTCTGCGATGTCGTTCTCGATGCTTATGAAGCCTTTCTCGATTTAATTCTGAAAACTATCGGCCCTCTAACTCCTCATATAAAGACAATCTTGGCTCATTACAAAAATTTTGCTGTTATCTACAAAAAATTAATTGACTCGCCTTCAGCCATTGAAATTTACCAAAAATTAATTTGTCTAACACTCAAACATCCAAATGATACAGTAAAGATAGTTTGGGAATACAAAGTAATTGCCGCGGAGTTTGGCACAAGAGGTCATCTGGATGCTTCAGTCAATGCCTACGAAAAACTTTTGGAGTTTGCTTGTCAGCATCATTCCACTAATGGTTTCTCCGAAGGTGATTTAATTGATTTCGTTCTTGTTGCCTGGAAAGAAAAAATAATTAGTCGACATCTAACAGAAAAGAACTTTGATTCAGCAATAATTTTACACTATAAGATAATCCATTTTCTCGAAAAATATCGATCGAACGTGAACACCGATTACGTCTTAGACGAGTTTATAGCAAGAATAATGGAGAGTTATAGTGAAATTGCTAGAATTTATCATGAAAAAAATGATATTGATCGAGCAATTGACACTTATGGAGAAACAATTGAATTTCTAACGATATATGAAACACAAACTGTGCAGGAACATATAACTTTGATCATTTCAAAATGTCACGCGTTTGCTGCAAAGCACAGAGAAAGACGAGAATTTGATTTTGTAATATCATTATATTCGAAACTTATTATGTTCATTCAAAAATATCGTTTAAACTATTTGTTCCATTTAGCAGCTGCTTATAATCGACTAGCCGAATTATTAGAAAACGTCGCTTACAAACATTCGGCTGAACTCATTCTTGCCACCAATTGTTGCTATCTACCAAACGCTCAACGTTCCGCAGTCCTTAATAAATGTGTTTTAGATTATATACAGAAGGCTGAATATTATCTGAGCAATAATCAACTTGACTTAGCTATAAAAACGTATAGAACCGAACTTTTGGCATTTTTGCTGGAAAATCATTCTCTAGAAGATGAGCGAATTAGTTCGTGTTACAGAAATATGGCATCAGTACACTACGAACAGAATGAAAATGTTCAGACACTGCAATTCTACCTGAAAGCAGTCGATATTTATGAATCACAAAAAGAGAGCTTCTATACAGATATTGCCTTTGAATTGAATCCAAACGTCTGTCGGCGCTACGCTGGAACACTGTTTACCTGCTATAATAACATGGCAACTGTTTACCAAGCTATACACGACGTAATTTCGGCGGAAATATGTAGGCAAAAAATCATTGATATTTATGAAAAGCACAATGATCAGTTTCAGTTAATTAGGAACCCTGCAATTAACATTATTACTGTTCAAATATGTCCTATGGTTGAACTAAATTATTGATATTTTTCTCTAATAGAAAACTACTTTTGCATCTGCTGGTAGAGTTAAAACTTAGATAAAATTTTCCAAGGTGATCGTTTTGAAAGCATACTATGTTTACATCGACTTTATCGGAACAGTTCGAGAGTAACAGGAATAGTATAACTCGGGCTTCTGATGACGAATAGCACGTTAGAAAATTTTAAAGCAACGGCACGGTGGCCTTCTAGACCTGTGAGGATCCCATTTTCCATAATGAGTAAGATTCCCTCTAAAAGAACCCCGTACACTCTGCATCCTTTGCTTCCATTCTTGCCAAGTTTTTGAAGTGTGATAAAGATGAAGTTCCTCATGGATGGCCTACACTCTAGAACGAATCCGTATCCGTCCTAAATGATATTGCCGGAAGAGTATCGTGGGATATGTTTTCAGTTTTGGAAAATTTTTATCGGAAACATATAGAGTTTCCCAACTTTTGGAATCTGAAAAGGTATAATAGGAAACCTAGGTTGGTTCGAAACATTTTCGACAACTTCTTGCATTAAAGGTAAAAAAAGGATAAAATTTCGCAGCGGCTGGTATTTTGCAAGTATTGAGGCTCATCATCGGTAAAATAAGACGTTTACTGATGGTGAGTCTCAAAGGTCTCTATCTTTGATGAAAATTGCAGAGAGTTTGCTTTTAGTATTGAGGATATATATGCCATAAAAGGTAAAATACTGAAATTTTGTAATGATTAGCAACGCCGTGATGATCAAGCTTGTGCTGCATCTCTGTTTAAACGGATTTGGCCTACGTCAAGTAGCGCTCATCGTAAGCGGTTGACTTTAAAAGACATGTGAGATAAGAGTGCTTCTAATTTCGTTTTTTTCAGCTATTCAGTTACAGAAACGGTAAATTTTGCGCGTATTGTTTGGAAAAATTACTACTATTACGAATTGTACCAAGCTTTTGGCGCCTGATTGATTGTATTGTTCAAAGAGGAACATCCTTGCAAAACAAGATCTGTTTTCCTTATTGTATTACTGTAAAAATAGACCAAATAAACTCATTTGCCAACAATGTATTGAACAAAACATGGCTCAAAATGAAAACTACTAGTGAGAGCACCGAAAAAGACGACTTTTTTGAAAGACATACTTAGGAAAACTGAAAAATCATTTTGATCGATCAATTGCTGAAATTGCGAAATAAATTTGTTTTCAAAACCAACTCATTTGCCTGTTCGTAGCGATGCCATAGAAAGATAAATCTGCTATGTGATTAAACAAAAAAACGCGTCGGTTGTTTGATCGAGAGCCGTAGCCGGAATGGATCGGAGCTGCCCAGCTCTGTTTCTTTTCCCTGTAAATAAACAACACAACAATAAACTGTAGTTTTAAATGAGATGATAAACTCTGCCATTTAAATGGAGACAACAAATCTTAATATTCCAAAAAAGATAATAAAGTTAAATGTCAAAATTGAGATAATAAAACGAGACAAAATAGCAAATTCAAAAGATATAATAAATTTAATTAAAATAACATAATAGGTAAAACAATATATGTAACTTTTGTACACGATGTATAATTACGCATGTACAAACTCTCTCACACACACAATTGTTCAGATACCATCTTGTTTATCTTTTTTTGTAGCTATTTTTCTAAAGCGATAGTTGTTATAAAGTGCACAAGGTTTTCCTTGCTGCGTTGCAAAGATGATCACGTTTGGAAAGCTAATTGTAGTAATACTGACATGATAGGATTGAGAAGTTGTCTTTCAACGTAATGTTAAGCTCCATTTTGATAGTGTTGTTCGATTTAGATATGCCACTTTCGCATCAATTTGTCAAATGGATGCGTATTTATACATCGTCCACAAAAGTCACATATATTGTTTTTCGTGTTCTGTTATTTTAATTAAAATTTATTATATCTTTTGAATTTGCTGTTTTGTCTCGTTTTATTTTCTCAATTAAGACATTTGACTTTATTATCTCTCTTGAAATATTAGGATTCATTGTCTCCACTTAAACGTCAGAGTTTATTATCTCCTTTAAAACTACATTTTATTGTCCTTTTGTACGCTCGATTTATTGTCTCATATGGGGGGTAAGCCGTCTTCAATTATTAAGAAGTACTACTATTATGAGTCTATATTTTCTCTTTCAGAAAAGTGCAATGAGTATGTTATTATCACACGCGAATGTTTAGAGCAGGATAGCTTTTTGGCGTCGATGTACTCAAAAGCTAAGATGCATTTACATCATATTGCCGCTGCTTTACATGTCGCTAAGTAGTTGGTGAAGTAATAGCACAATGCGGAGCACCTAGTTTGAAAAGTCATGATTTGAGTAAGGGAACAGTTATCAATATATAACGTGCAGTCGATCTTTATACAATAACAATAAATTATCAAATAATTTCAATAAATGCATTTAAAAAAGCATGTTTGTTAACAGACTACTTTGTGACACAAAAGAAGATTATTGGTGGTCATCTTTCGATGAAATGATCTTCGAAAACGTTTTCAAGATAATGAATCTGTGGAAAGCAATGCTCTCGTAATATTATACAGCACAAAGTGCCTAAATTTATACGTCATATGAAAGTTTTATCAGCACCAGCAAACAAAATGGAGTGTTCAAGTCAAATCAAGTGCAAGTTGCCGTCAAAGGATTAGAAAGAGAAGAATTTGGTGAGATATTGGGAAATTTTTATTATTTTAACCTACCTAAGATCGAAGAATAGGGATCAATGGCGCTAACTGTAAATATGTGAGAATCTGAGAATCCTTCATTAGTTGCAGCTCTAATAGCAGAGATACTTTCTCGTTCTCCAGTAGAGAATTTGGCGTAGAATAGTCAGAAAGAAAATATGCAGATGTCAAGAAGAGCCCCTGACTAATTCTTCTTATATAGATTAACTAAAAAAAGATGAATTAGAGTGTCAGAAAATCCACTGAATATTCAAGCAAAACGTTATCAATATCCTTTCAGAAAGTGTGGAAAATGTCAAACAATTTACCGACAAGTGACAAAAGTCTCAAGTATCACTGCCTGAATTTATCAGAATTCGAACTGCAGGTTCAAAGATATAACGAGCAAAATGTCGATCAATTGATTGATATGGACGTATGAGAGCTCAACGAGAACGATCCATCAACTGCCAGTTCTTAAGCAAGCAAAAGTCAATATAGTAGTGCTGTTGCCACTACTTCATCTTCTACTATTCAACGGTCGTCGTGCTATACCACTTGTACCTACTAAATGTTCACAGCAACAACAAGAGAGACAGTCACGATCACGTTCTCGTACACCATCGTTATCCGTTAGAAAATATAAATGAATTGCCAGTCTTCGATTATAGAACATACAAGAACAAGAAAATAGTCAATACAATTATGAATATTGAATAGAACAGATCTCTTTGTGTGTTTCTACGATTTATATATTTTGGTTTAATTTTTATTACATGATTATTTTCACTTATGTTAATTGTCCAATCGTAGTTCGACTTATTATTCACCAATCCGTTTAAAGAATAGAAAGAACATTTTCGTTTCTCTTATAGTTTGCTTGTGTGTCTGTGTGTATGGGATTTCTTACAGATTTTCTAGATATCTTTGACAAAAGAGAATGTTTTTCATTGATCTTAAGTATAGAATTCGATTGAGGAAATAAAATAAAGTATCCCACATATTTGATCATTCAGGCAGAAGCCGTCACCTTTTAAATGATAATTTCAGTTCTTTTACTAGTATAATAGCACGTAGTAATATTAGTCATTGTACTCAATTTTGGACATACCAATCGGATTCCAAGTCAGCTGTTTTGTAGCAATTTAAAATATCTGCACGAGATGCTAATCAAACTTCTAGCGAAACAATAATAAGCTTAAAAAATGATTCCATTCAAAAGTAGACAGACTCTTTTGTGATTTATAAATTTCATGCTTTTCAGTTTGTTCTTCCTTTATGATAATTTTAATTCGGAAAAGTTAAAAATTATCATGCTCTTTCGAAAATTTATAGTTTAACATTCCGAAATAAAGAATAGACCGGAAAACAATAACGTTAAAACAACAGTCGTTACAACGCTTATTACTATTATTAAACCTTTCATGGAAACCGTTCCCAACTGAAGCCACCAAAACAGATAGTGTTCGATCTCGAATTTCCGAATCGTATCCCATTGTCGACTTATTCAACATATCAACACCATCAAATCTGTTTATGACAATCGCGTGAGTCTGATCAGACTTATTAGTCACTAAGCCACAAGAGCACATCTCATTTAATGTTCAGTTCCCCTCATAACTCATCATACAAATTGATTCCTTCTTTAATGTACATAGGCGCTCCGGCATCGTTAGATACTGATCCACTTGCAGTTCTCTTCAACGATATCGGAGAGTGAGATTAACTTGGACACTTTGTCTGTTTTAATTTCATTTAGTTTTTCAACCGATTATCAGTGACTAGAGGCTCAAACAGTCTCTAGTAACTGATAAACGATTGAAAAACTAAATTAAATTAAAATTATATCACATGGAGTTTCACGTCTCATATATACTTTGTCTGTTGAATTTGACAGAATCTGAATATATTTCGATTTTCCGACTTCTGCAGAACAAACTACATACACAAACAGCAAGAATCGGACAGTTTTTCCACACCAAAATTTCGCAAAATGAAACTGTGAGATAAAGGACGAAAAAAGTTTCACTTAAAACTTTTCTGACCTTCTCCGAAAGTATCCGCGCAACCATTTCTAGATTACGAGCTGCAAAAGTTTCACCAACTACACTGCGTACCACTTTTCGCCATCAATATCAGAAGCAAACTTGTAGTACAGCAACCACTATCATTAAAAAATTTTGTTTTACTCTGATAATAACTAATCACACACACCTGACATATTAGTAAACTTGCGCTAGTCATATCTTCTATATGATATAGAAGATTTGAAGATAGGGTCTATATATTCTATATTTTCAATTCTGCAGAACAATGCTCTTGCTCCTCAACAAAAAAAT